GATAATTTGTTTATTTTTAGTTTTCTTATTAAAGTTTTGAGCAACTCTTTACTTTCATGGTCTTTACACTTCTATGTCTGAAGAGCAGCTTATTCAGGATAGAAGGAACTGGAAGGTTGCCAATGGGGTAACTTTAATGTAAATAAAGTAATGAATGATATTGTCGGGGAAGTGGATACAGGAACCACTGCCTCGAAGGTCATGACGCCTTCCTGTGAGCCAGATATCCCTTGCTGGGAGAAGGGAGAGGAATGATGATCTGTGACAGAATCCTGGTGGCAAAACTCTCCATTTCTTTCTGTTCATGTGCATTTTTCACGTTTAGGGTAAATACATCTAAACAATTAAAATTTTCTTCCAGTGAAATGTGCCACAAGCACACCTGCCTTCTTCGCTGAGAAGCTTCATGAGGCGATGAAGGTACCTTTCCACTTATAAGCTTCTCTAGAGGAAAAATTATTTGTAAATAGAATAAACATTTTCATAGTCTCTGAACATCACATTTTGTATCTTTGCATTAAAAAAATCATTGTTTTCTTCAGTGTAAGAAAATAATGATTAAAATTAACTTTTATTAGATTTGCTGAATTTTAACAATACATAGATGCTATTATAAAGAGCTTGTCAAAAAATTATGGTGTAAATCTGAGCTTAAAATTGAGATTTGCTTAAAATCTGAGCTACCAAGGGAAGGATAATTTAATTAATCCATTTGTGCTAAGGTTCTCAGTATTATAATCTTCTCCTTTCTAAGTTTCACTTGCCTTTTTTATTATGTTGTCTTTCATGCTATGGATTAATATTAAATCTTTACAAATATCATTCATGTTTATCAAAGTAGAAGGTAGTATTAAGATGTATTTGAAGGCTGGCCAGATAGCTCAGTGGACTAAAGCACTTGCTTAGGCAGAGCGCAGCAGCTGTGGTTTGATCCCCAGCATGCCCTGCTGGCCCTGCCTCCTGGGTGCGCAGAGATAGCGACTGAGACTGGGCGTGGTGGTGCGCACCTGTAATCCCAGTACTTGGCAGGCTGAAAACAGGAGAATCACTATGGTTCAGATCTACATAGTGTGACCCTGTAGGCCCTGTAGTAAATACATAAAAAAAAGATGTATTTGAAATACTACAACTATTTCACTTCAACTTTATAACATGAGTGGCATTATATAGGACACCACTCAGCTCTTTGTATTTGGTGCTCTCAAATTCATAATGATGCAATTATCCTTGTTATTCCTCCAAAAACAAGGAGAGAGAGAGAGAGAGAGAGAGAGAGAGAGAGAGAGAGAGAGAGAGATCCTTTGTTTTATACTGAGGCCCCTCTGTGAAGTGCCGCATTAGGCATGCATAATGTGAAATGACAGGCACTGCAGTTACTATCACACAGTACTTACACAGTGGCTGCCCCATAACTGCTCTTGTCTTGTGTGGTATTCAGATGGATACCTGGTAATATAGACGGCACAGCATTGCATATGCCCATGGATTGAGAAGTGTAGGGAGCCTTACTGTTAGTTAATCTAAGACCTACGTTTGAATGGCAATGAGCCAGATGAAGAAGAGGGTGGAAGAGCAGGTGAGATAAAGCAATGGTGGCCCAGGAAGAGGAGATGCGCTCAGAACTGAACACAGAAGGTGCTGCATCTCTTCCTAGATAGTAAATATAATTAGGATAGTGGTGCGCTGTAGAAGGTCGTAGAATTAGACAGGTGTTGTCAGCCCTGTTAAAGTGATTGGTTTCCATCGGCAAAGCAATAGGAGAATATGTAAGTCTTTTAAAAAGTTGAACTCAATAATCAAAGTTGTAGTTTCAGGAAACAAAATTTGCTGTAATTTTGTAATTATTGGATGGCTCAGAGAGAAGCACAGCTAGTGGGAGGCCAGTTCGGAGGTTGTAAAATCTCTTCACACTGACCGTTAGTTAACAGCTTGTACATTGTCATTTCCTTATTACGAGTGTGTGTGTGTGAATATGGAGATAGTTTCTCTGATGGAGATTCTATAGGGGGATAAGTAGGCTTCAATCTGTGTTCTTTAATGAGAGTATCTTTGAGAGATGAGAGATGCTGCTTTGTTTGGGACAGGGCGCTGGCACTCGCCACAAAGCGCTGATCAGGATCATGGTCTCTCGCTCGGAAATCGACATGAATGACATCAAAGTGTACTATCAGAAGAAGTACGGGATCTCTCTGTGCCAAGCCATCCTGGTAAGCTGTGATAGTCACAAGGCCACTTACACAAAAGCTCATGCAGTATCTTCAAAGAGAAGAGCTGGCTGACTATGTCTACATTTCATATATAAGATTAATCCAATGTTACGGGATTAATTTAAAGATAAATTAAGCCGTCAATGAAAATTTACTAGTTGGGGCTGGGGAGAGAGTTCAGCAGTCTAAGTGCCTGCCTGACAAGCACAAGGACCTGAGTTTGATCCCTGCTACCACATACCACAGCAGCCCTGGAACCAGGTGGGGTGGTGCACACCTGTAATCCCAGTGCTGGGGAGGCTTAGACAGGAGAATCACTGTGAGTATGAGCTGTGTAGCAGGACCCTGTACCAATAAATTAAAAAAAAAAAAAGAAAGAAAGAAAGGAAAACAAGGACATTTACTAGTAAGTTCTATACCAGAGAACTGGATATATTTTTGAACCAGCATTACGGAAATGTTTACTTTTCTATTTTAGTATTCTAAAATATTTTAGTTTTTTTACATTATATATAGACTTTATTGTTTATTTTTCAAATAATATTCGAGGAAGAGGACCTCATTTAAAATATTTTCTTGGGGCTGGTGAGACAGCTCAGCAGACTAAAGCGCCTGCTTAGGCAAGCTTCGATAAGAGCAAGGACTGTGGTTTGAGGCCAGCACCACACGCCATGCCAGCCCAGCCCCCAGGGCTGGTTAAGCTACACACACACACACACACACACACACACACACACACACACACACATCTTTGTTTTGTCATATGTAGAAAGTTTCAAGTACATATTCCCAGAAGGAGGCACAGTGAACATAAATTTGGGTCCTGCCCTGGTAAATTAGCAAGACTCTGTCTGAACAGCAACAAAAAAAAGTAATAATACATTAAAGAAAAGGCTGAGAATGTAGCTCAGTGTGAAGACCCTGTGTCCAATTTCTTCTACTAAAAAATGCTTGTTAACTCATTAAAGCACAGTAAAATAAGACAAGAAAGTCAATGGTGTTGCTCTTACTGAAAGATAGGTAACTACTTACATTCACAGCATTATTTGTATTTTATAAAATCTACCAAGAATAAGTAAGAAATTATAGCCTAGGGGGTGGGGATTTAGCTCAGAGGTAAAACACTTGTCTCGCAAGCTGCAAGCTCTGCGTTTGATCTTCAGTACCAAAATCAAAAAATAAACCTCACTTAGAAATTACAGGCTTATAACTTCATCTCTTTCTGATGACTGAATCTGTTACTTTCTGATGCATGATATGAGAGTATATAGTATTACATGTTATTCAAGTCTTTTTGATACTATATTTTTTCTTTGAAAGTAATGCCTCTCACATAATGAACTTAGAGAACTATGTCACCTGAATCTTGAAAATTTTTACTTTCTGTATAGCATTCCAGATCTATTAATTATCTGTTTTCTGGGGCCAGGGAAATGGCTCAGCAGCTTGAGTGTTTGCCTGGCAAGCACA